CGCCCAGCTCCCAGATCTTTTCGTCAGCCTCCGTTACTGGAGATTTTGCCTGAAAAAGGTTAAACAGGTGCACCTTGTGAGTTGAGAAGGTTCCCTAATGAGCTGAAACACTTATCATCACAATACTCAGGAGACTGAGGCAGGAGGATTGCTGAGACAGGGGTGCTGGAGAACTGGCCACACCTATTAGTACCTATCCTCAAGACAGCTCTTCATGTCTCCAGCAGGGCCTCTTCCCACTCTGAAGGTCAGCTGTTTTCACCTGGTAGTAGGTGCACAAGTGTATCAGCCCACTAGGCAGTGGCAGACAAGGGCCATGGTACTTATGGGGCAATCCATGATCCTGGTCAGGTCCAGTGGAAGAGATAGTCAAGAAACCCAACCATCAAAATACAGTAACATAGGCAATAGGCAGCAAGATGGTGTCCACCAGCAGGGACATTCAGGTAATAAAGCCACATGCTACATTAAGGTTCTCTGGCAGAAGAGACCATCCTAAACTCGGAGCCTCAGAAGCTTTGGGATCAGCAGAACTCTTCTCTGACTCCACAGCATTCTAAAAGAAGTAAACATCAGGTCTGCTCATGAATCAGAATCCAACAGACACTGCAGGAGTATTAGGACATTACCCCAGAAATACAGAAGGAATTGTCTCATGAAACAGAATTCATCCAGTTTTGAGATCTAGAATAATTATTGTAGCTATTGTTTGCCATCAGACAAAGAATTATTTTTATAATAAAGAACTTCCTAAATAACAAATGAAAATTGTATATTGAACATAAATAGCTTGAAAAAAATGAAATACAGAAAATTTAGATGAACTTTTTTGTTGTTGTTGTTTTGAGACAGGGTTTCTCTGTATAGCCCTGGCTATCCTGGAACTCACTGTGTAGACCAGACTGGCCTTGAACTCATAAGCCTGCCTCTGCTTCCCAAGTGCTGGGATTAAAGGCGTGCACCATCACTGCCCAGCTAGATGGATACTTTTATCTCCTAATTTATGTGTCTTGATCAACTTCTCCATAAGCTTACCTAATTGTTTATGTACTTTATACTTATTTTTAAAGATTTTTATATTTTTATTATATGTATATGTTTGCCTTATCTTGTTGAGACCCTGTCTAAACTTTATTTAAAAATTAAAAAGACTAGGAAGATAATAAAAAAAATTATACCTATATTCAGAAAAAGAGGCAGTGTATAGAATGGACAATGAGAGACCAGCATAGGTAGAGCATAGAAATCTTTCACTACAAATGCCAATTTTAAAAAATAGTGACATAAAAGTCATGTGCAGTGGCACATGCCTATAATCCTGCACGTGGGAGAGGGTCATGACTTAGAGGCCAGCATAGGCGCCATTATGAAATACTGTTTTTTTAAAAAGCTAAGTGTCTTTAACCGCAGTACTCAGGAGGCAGAGGCAGGCAGATCTCTGTGAGTTCCAGGCCAGCCTGGTCTACATGAGTTCACAGACAGTGAGGATGGCAGAGAGAGACCCTGTCTCCAAACAAACTTCAGCTAAGTACTTTGATTCAAGAATGTCCAAGGACCTGTTGGGCCAGTTTGGGCACCCATCTCAGGGAAGGCTTCCTGGGGGAGGAGACCTTTCTTTGGTCATGAAACTTGAGTAGGAGCTGAAGAGTGCTGGGGCAGTGTAAGTTCCTTGGATTCGTAACTGACATCGAGTTTACTACTCAGTCTGGTTAACACTACTTAACACGTACTCGGCATCAAACATGGTTCCTTCACAAAGGCCCAGCCCAATAAATAGTCGGTTGACTTTTTCTCTTTCAATTGGAACCGGGAAGCCAGCCATCCTCCAAGATTCAGCTAGTGAGTCATCAGCAAACATCTGTAGTCATCACCACATTGTACAACTTCTGTGAGTGTGCATGGGCTCAGACCACCTGCCACAGAACCCAATATCATCCATAAGCACAAGTAGAGTGCAGAGGAGGAAATATGTTTACACCCTTCCCCACTCCAATCCCCTTTGCCCTACAGTGTTGCCCTAAACATGGCCTGAGTTTCTTGTCATAATACTCTATGTACACATATATCTATATCTATCTATCTATCTATCTATCTATCTATCTATCTATCTATCTATCTATCTATCATAGATATCATATCCTGAGTGCTAGAATTACAGGCATGTACCACCATACCTGGCTCTATTTTATTTATTTTTAAGATTTGTTTATTTGTTATGTATACAGTGTTCTGTCCACATGTATGCCTGCAGGCCAGAAGAGGGCACCAGATCTCATTACGAATGGTTGTGAGCCACCATGTGGTTGCTAGGAACTGAACTCAGGACCTCTGGAAGGGCAGTCAGTGCTCTTAACCAGCTAAACTATCTCTCCAGCCCCTTATTTTTTTGCTTGAGACAGGGTCTTACTATATATATCTGGTTAGCCTCGAACTCACAGAGATCTACCTGCCTCTCTGCCTCCCAAGAGCTGTGATAAAAGGTATATGCCACCACACCCAGCCTCAATTCAATTTTTTGATTCAATTTTTGTTAAAATTAGAAACCTTTTGAATGGCTGGGCAGCAGTGGCGCACACCTTTAATCCCAGCACTTGGGAGGCAGAAGCAGGCTGATCTCTGTGAGTTCAAGGCCAGCCTGGTCTATAGAACAAGACCCAGGACAGGCACCAAAACTACACAGAGAAACCCTGTCTCTAAAAAAAGAAAAGGAAAGAAAACCTTTTGAATGTGTCCTGCTTTCCTTAGTGCTAGAGTTTGAGTATAGTTTGTGTCTCTCCCCCACCCAGACTCTTATGATTAAAGTCTGGCCCCAGAGGGCAGTGAGAGAGGAAGTAGAATCTTTAAGAAGGGCCTAGCTGGAGGCCCTTAGGTCACTGAAGACAGAGTAAGTTCCTGCCGTAGGGTTCTTATAAAAGGAGCGAGCCTGGCTCTGCTCAGCTCCCTAGCGCCTGTCACAGAGGTCACCCTGTGGCCCGGGCTGCACTCCAGCCATCTGTCACTGGACTCTTGCCATGTCTGCGATTTGCCACATCACCTCCTCAGCTTTAAAACTGTGAGCTAAATAAGCCTTTTGGTTTTTAATAGAATTTTTATTTATTCCTTTTTCTAAAGGAATACATATATG